TACAATCTTGTTTTGGTAAAGGTGAGGAGAAGTGAGTGAGTTGGGTTTAACGCCGCTTTTAACATTATTCCAGTTATATCACGGCGTGTCAGCTTAATGTGGGAGGAAAGCCCGAAGTGATGCAGGTCTCAGACTGAGGGGAGGTGAAATGGGGTTAAGCGTTGCGTCCAAGATATTAATATAGCGACGTGCATGCACATGTGCGTGTGGCTGCTTGTACTAGTTCGGACGAATGTCGATTTTATCGTGTTAGCCAACTGCGATTCCATGATTCAACATGACTATCCCACTCAGACACAGTATACTGACTCCGAGCCGATCAGCTCCTAAGTGCCGAGCGCCAGGCAGGGTAACAACAAGTACCATCTTTTAACGCTCTCCGGGCGGACTCTATCACTAGATCACTGAGGCGGTCTGGTTTGATACAGAGTGCACATTTCTAAGATATGAGAAGGACAGATATTGTTGGGATGTTGTACTATACAAACTGAAAAAAATAAAAATAAAATACTTTCAAATCTGAATAACTCCAAATTGTGCTGGAGCAGAATGTGAGGTTTTCTTCATCTAACAATTCTATTCCCAACAGGGCCATGGACTTGTGGTATACACACTTCAAATATACATGTATATTTCAGCATACCACAACATGCAATGATGGATTTCATTCTATTGATCATGATATCGAAGAAAAGATAGACCAAGACACTTGATTCTCCTATAACAAGAGATGAGATTTGTGCAGCAATTACAAAACTAAATCTTTTATCTTACAGTCTACTATTGTTATTATTATTACATAAAGAGGTAAATTGAATGCATGCCTTTGGCTTCGTAAATAGGGCAAACTTTTGCTGCCTTTTAGGTCAAGTGAGGTGAGGTGAAATGGGATTTAACGTCGCGTCCAAGATTATTGCACTTATATAGCGACGTGCATGCACGTATGTACCAGTCCGGACTGATGCCGATTATTGTGCTAGCACACTGAGATACTATGCCGCAGTTTAACATGAATACCCCACTCAGACACAGTACACTGACTCCGAGCCGACCAGTCATTTTTTAAACCCCTTACAACAAGTACCATCCTATTAACGTCTTTTGGTATGACGCAGCCGGGGATTGAACCCCGGACCTTCCGCTCTCCGGGCGGACGCTCTACCACTGGACCACGGAGGCGGTCTTTGCTGCATTTTGAGGCTAAGAGGAGTAAGTAGTAACATTTTAAATTCAATCAAAGCTCTCTGTACAAGTGTTAAAGCACGTGGCAAATTTAATAATAATTTTTCAACATGTATTGATCGTCGATTGGGCTTACGACTAGCTTATGAAATCGGAGCACGTGGCGTACCAGGAATTCAGCTTCATCCTGAGCTTGCACAGCTATTTCTTCTTTCATTTGCTGATTATAATGTTGTTGATCTCATTCAGTTGACAGAAGAGGCTTAATGTCCTGTAGGCGTTTTGTTTTTAGAATTGTTTGACGGTAATTATGGAAAAAACAAAGGTAATAGTTGTCAAAAATGGTGGAAGATTGCCGAAATATGAAAAATAGTTCTATAATCGCGTACAAATAGAATGTGTTTCCTGGTATAAATATCTAGGTATTTTATTCAGTAGGTCATAAGTGTGGACAAAGGACATAGAAAATGTATGCTTGCAGGCTAAACAAGTATTATTTGTTATATTTAGATCACTGTCAATGTTAAGCCGTTACCTTTTGACTCTAAGATTTTTTTTACCAAAGTTTGTCCTATTTTTATATTCGGTGCGGAGATATGGTGACTAGTTGTAAGGGAATATAAGTTCTACATTTAGCAGCTTGTAAACGATTTTTAGCAATTAATTCCTCTGTGCCAGCGCATGTTGTTCGACACGAATGTGGAAGATATTCATTGTATATAATTATATATATATAATTATATATATATATATATATATATATATATATATATATATATATATATATATATATATAATTATATATATATATATATATATATATATATATATATATATATATATATATATTATTAAAATGTCTATGCAATATTAAAATATTGTAATATTGTGTAAAATATTGAAAAGGCCAAATGAGCGCTATGTCAAGAAATGTTAAAGTGTGCTTGTAAATGGAAAGTCCTGGTTGTAAAAGTTGGGCATCTAGGAAGAAGCATACATTGCAGGTCTATGGATTCGGATTTTTTTGGCAAGAACAGATGGTTTGAAATGAAACGTTATTTTTAAATGCATTTTCAGGAACACTAAAAGTTTCGTATCAACAAGCCTGGCATTCTGCATAGTAAAGGGCACAACAACATTTGGATACACGTTGTTTAATTCTATTTTCGGTGTAAAACCATTCATCCACATACCGAACTGTGTGAAACATAGACGTGCTCTTTCTCAGTTTACATCGGGTTCGCGTCCGCCTGGAGAGCGGAAGGTCCGGGGTTCGATCCCCGGCCGCGTCATACCAAAAGACGTTTAAAGATGGTACTTGTTGTTACCCTGTCTGGCGCTCGGCATTAAGGGGCTAAAGCAAGGACTGGTCTGCTCGGAGTCAGTATACTGTGTCTGAGTGGGATATGCATGTTAAACTGCGGCATGGTATCTCAGTGAGCTAGCACTATAAATCGGCATCAGTCCGGACTAGTACAAGCAGCCACACAAACACACACACACGTACATGCACGTCGCTATATAAGTGCAATAATCTTGGACGCGACGTTAAACCCCATTTCACCTCACCTTAGATCGGGTTCTAATAAACTACGAATAGAAACTGGCAGGTATATTGGTGAAGCTAGAAATGAGAGAATATGTAATACCTGTAAACTGCCATGTACAGAAGATGATTATCCCTATTTATTCATTTGTCATAAATATCTAGGATTGCGACGTCTCTACATTCCTTTAAATTTTTTTTATGAATATCCAACACTCCACAAATATGATATGCTTATGTTGGTAGGTCTTCATTATAATATACTTGCTCACTCTGTACCTCCACCTATGGCCTATATTACTTTTTGAATAGACTACTACAGCGATCTGATTGGACATCGCTTTTTCATCACAAGAGACACTACACGAGATGGCGCCACGATCGAGGCAAGAAAAGTAAGCTGGTAATGGCAAGGATGGAAGCTAGGCTTTGATGTAGGCTAGTGGACATTCTTGCCCCGGGAAGGCGACACTTGACTTGCCCTTGCATTTGTTTAGGACGGTAGCTACGTGTGGGCCAGGGCAAGGTTACCTCTTCGCTGCCACCTTGTTTCATAGTGATTTGTAAACACATGCTTTTAAAGCAAGTGCCATCTGAAGTTAACTGAGAAATAAATATTTGAAATGCTGGACTTCCTCATTGATAACATCTACATAAAACTTGCGGTTAGACATTTAGTCAAGAAGGGGCATCCCCAAGGGCATCAAGTGTGCTCCCCTTCTTGCGGATCTGTTTCTTTATGCATATGAGTCGGAATTTCTGCTCGAATTGGCAAAGTCAAAACAAGGTAATTTGACCAAAAAGTTATACTTATACTTATACTTCAGGTATATCGATGATCTGACAATGTTCAATAACTAACAAATAGCCAATTCCCTTCCAATAATTTACCCACCTCAACTAGAAATAAAATCGGAAATAAAGGAGACAAGTGACCGCCTCGTCTGTTTCATATTTAGATCTATGCTTAAAGATTCAGAGTGACAAAACACTCTCCACAAAACTGTATCACAAGAGGGATGACTTCAACTTTCCAATTATCAACTTTCCCTGTGTCGAGCAATAGGTCAAGGTTACAACATTCAAGGCCTCAGTAAAGCTTTCAAGGTTTTATGGTAGACATGTAGACAAATTTGACGCATCAGTGAAAAAATGATGTCTGATGCAATTCCCAAATTTTGACTTGTACCATATGTTCCAGTGTTTTTAGAGGTGAACAACTTACCTGCCTTTGCATGTGTTTGTGACGGGTGCCACCGGTGGGGCAGGATACGCTCAACATTTTCGCGAACACCTGGTATCATCACTATTTGATAGTGATTCATAAACACATGCTCATGAAATAGTCGGAATCGTACTGTCTATTGGATATGGAAAGAGCTTTGTCGCTTTATTTACTTGATGTTATTATTATTAAATCAAATTTTGATATTTACGATTATAGAACAGGTTTTGTCGCTTTTAAAATCAGAGCCTTGTGGTCCCATTGTTTCATTTCTCCACTTTAAAAAAATCGGCAGGAACATATCTACAATATAAATTTTAGTCAACAGTTTGGGTTGCTGTAAAATAATTTATAAATATCGCCTGTCTGTGCGTTTGGAATAACCACGAAAGCTTCAAAATAACCACAAAGCGCTTAATCGAAGCAGTTGTAGTCCCAGATGTGACGTCACGGTTTCTGCGAGATAATGCGATACTGCATCACACGACTTCAATGTCCAACATCTATGACGTCAGTAGAACTACTAAAGTGACGGCTTGTCTGGTCCAGAATCGATTATTTACAGGTTTTTTAACCAGCTGGAAGGTTTTATTCAGCCCCTAACACCACAAACGCATTAAGTATCACCCGATTCTAGCTTCAGCTGATAAAATATACAGAAGGAAGTAGAAACTATTACAACACTATTCGCTGCATAAACAGACCATGGTGATTTGCTTACTGGCAGCAACCTGGCCTGCTTGGAGGTTTATATAGTGTTTACACTGTATGATAAGTAACAATTTTCCCGTTTTCCCTGTCAATTATATTTCCCGAAAATATGCAATTATGCAAATAGTCTGAAACCAGTTGAAAGCATGTTTGGTAAGTCACGTCTGTCAGCAAATGCGCCCAACACATGGCATTTCTTTATCACCAAAGCTATCATTTTAGAACATTTTATCTTGATCACTAACTTCCTTCGTTGTTTCTCATTTCCACAATCTTGTGTGCATTTTCGCATATCCATGTACTCAATGTTGATATGAATCAAATAATGACAAGATCTTTCATTTTATGTGAATCGAATATTCAGAAATTTATTGAAGAAACAAATCACATTTGCCACTATCAGAAAAAGTCCATTTCATACCTCGTCCTTTGAGTAGCATCCAGGCATACATCGTTTCTTTGAAAGCGGCAACCAATATTATTTGGATTCCACATTGCATTTTATCTTAAGTCACCCATAGGACATTTATGGTGTGTATAACCTCAGACAAAATTATTTTTTCCTCGGATTTTCTGGATGAGACTGTGCTCAAATAACCAATCCCTTAAACGACTGGGTCACCCGTGACCCTAAATCACGAGAAAGTGATACGTGAATTAAGGTTATTTGTCAATTGAATCTGTTTACTTCATTGGATTAGTTTTACTTTTCTTGTCTCGCGAGACATTGTGCTAGTGAGCAACGTTTCCGCCGTCCATCAAGATGGCGGATGCTGTCATGTTGTCTGCTGACGATGTGCACAGGAAATCCACAAGACCGCATACCTGAAACAGACATGCGCTTGTCCAATCAGTTCTGGGTCAGGTCAAGGTCATGGCTACGTTTGCAAGGCTGATGGCACATTAGGTTTACAGAAAGACCCAACATCAGCCGCAAATGCTTTCTAGATGCAAAATATACACAATGCAATATATATGGGACGACAATAATTGAATTTTTGGTCACACAAACATTGGCTTGACAGGCATACATTTAATTAGGAGAAAGATATACGGATATACAGAGTTTTCAATATATAGCTAATTGACTTGTAGATTTAACTGGGTAAAATTTACTTTTGAACGAATTGCGCATGATGAGTTTTTAAATGTCAAACCGAGGCGCAGTTTTTATATTTATGTTCTATTTTCCAATTGTAGAGTCTGTCGGTTGAATTTGTAAAAAATAAACTGGAGGCGTTTGCAGACACTTGCAAATAAAGAAGCAGCCCCTCACCGCCATGTCCACAAAACTACACATTATCTCAATGACCTTGACCTCAATCAAAACAACTTCTTTAGGTCCAACAATTATCAAACACTCAGGATTGAAAAGTAAAATTGCAACAGAAACTGACAATGAATGACACAACCATGTTTCACAATAACCTTAAAGATGTCCTTGACCTTTGATAGACAAGTGACCAATATTTCATGTCATAGGATTTGTAAACATTCATCAAAACATAACGTCTCAAGCTTGTAGATGCAACTGACCATAATACAACCATGTTTTGAAAAGGATGCTGCCCTCCACGTTTGACTTATTGACCAAAACATTTCCAAAGAACGGCCCATACCTTAAAGAGGATATATACTTAGTTCATTGATAAATACATTGAGAACGTGTAACCGCAAACATTTTACAGGCTTTTCTATCTGGTAACCTTGACATTTGACCTTTACATCGTATGTGTCAAAATATTTCCTTAAGTACATGAAATAATCCTGTTGTAGGATATCCTCTAATGTCAGTACTAATTGGGCTTTCCATGCTTAAGAGAACGTATGACAATTACAGGTCACAATTCCCTCAAATGCCAATGACATGCGATGTGGCAGGATAGCCAAAAACATGTACAGTTCTAGGTCCATGCTTGTTGAGGTAAGTATATCTCTGAAGCTGACAATGATATAAGCAAGTATAACAAACACCTGAACTTTGACCTTGACCTGTGACGCATCGTAACCAAAACCTTTAAAAAATATATAGCCAATCCTGGAGGAGGTACATGCATCAATCAATAATACATGCAAGAATACGTTTTGAGAAATTGTAACCAGAAACATTTTTTCGTGACCTTGACCTTTAACCTTTATATTACTTTTGCCCAACGAATACAACAGGGCCATTTCTAAGAAGCCCATTGAAGGATATTCTCTGAAGTCAATAATCTTTGCGTAGGCATGAGAAAAAACCCATCGGAAACATATCTCAAAAGCAGTCCCGTTCCACGGGACTTCTAATAAAAGTGTTGCATACCTCGGCCACAGTAACAGCTTTCTTAGTTGGATGCGCGTTGGTGAAATGTTCCTACAAAGGAAACGGTCTGTCGTCAAACATTGTAGAATGAGAATCACAAGAGTTATAGTGCCGTCCACTTGATATTCCTGGGGTGTTTAATAAACTGCAGTGTAATCCGAAAATGATGTAAAGATATAATTTGACTCCTCCTTTTCCGTGCCATCTTTGAACGTCTTTCTGTATGAAGCTGCCGGGGATCGAACCACCGACCTTCTGGTCTCCGGGAAGACGCTCTATCCACTACACTGCGGAGGCGATCGGAAACATATGCACTCTCACTAGTTCTTCATTATGTACGAAATAAAATCAGTTCCAACATGGTAATACACATTGAAAACATTGTGACATTAGGCGGCCATCTTGAAATTTGACGGCTATCTTGGATTTTCATGTCACTAACGTTCTATTTCTCATTGGCGGTGGGATAGCCTAGTGGCTCGTCACGTCGAAGGCCCGGGTTCGAATCCCCACATGGGTACAATGTGTAAAGCCCATTTCTGGTGTCCCCCGTCGTGATATTGTTGAAATATTGCTAAAAGCGTCGTAAAACCATACTCACTCACTTATATTTCTCAATCTAGGTACCAACAGAAATACAAAATTAATGTAAAGTTTCATGAACCATTTGTAAAGCACACAATCCTAGAAAGCGTTTTCTCCGCTTTACATTAATTAGGATATATATGTTAGATCACGTGATCAAATGATGGATTTATTCCCTGGATAACAACATATATTAGTGCTTTAATGTTAAGCTCGATGTATAAATTCAAGAAAACGTTTTCACCCTCGCAGCCTGGAAACTGATCCCCTTTTCCCTGGACAAATCATCCATCTGCCGAATAGCCACTGGAAATGAGATACGTCATGAGATACGTCACGAGATACGTCATACGTGTGAGCCACATGTGACAAACGCAGAACACGAAATCATCAAACGAAGGTTTTCCAACAACAAGCTATGGATCAACTCGATGAATAAGTTTTAAATTCGTAGTCAGCACCATCACAGCGACATCACGGCTTAATGTGTATGAATGGTTCAACGTCAGTCAGTACTATTCCAGCTGTATCATGGCGATCTCTAAATGTTCGAGCCTGGATGAAGAAAACCAGAGGCTGAAAACATGAGCACCGATCTACGTCATCGATGTACGGTGACACGCAATTAGCCAAATCACGGCCTGGCCATCAAACTGAATTCAGTCCTCTCAACTTCTAACAATGGGGTGTTGTGAATATATTATCACACGGTTCCCATCGGGGGATGGTGAAAAACAAACCAGTGATTGATAGTAGGAACACTATGACGCCATGTCACACATTGTAACTATCCGATCCCTATTTCAGTCGCCTCTCATACAATGCAATATATATAACATTAATCTTACCAGGTCAACTGAAACTTCAAGACCAAAAATGACAATTTAACATTCTAAAACATATTTTCCGATATCCCGTTATTTAGGACGTACTTGGAGCGTCAACGAACCCAGGGCATATGGCGTTGCACGTCACGCCGTATTCAGCCGCCTCAAGCGCCACGCCCTGTAAAGAATGAGTAAGTTCCATGTGTTTGTTTGTTTGTTTATTTGTTGTTTAACGTCGCACTCAGCAATATCCAAGCTATATGACGGCAGTCTGTAAATAAGCAAGTCAGGACCAGACAATCCAGTGACTGACATCATGAGCATCGATCCACGCAATTAGGACCGATGACATGCATCAACCAAGTCAGCGAGTCTGACCACCCGATCCCGTTAGTCGCCTCTTACAAGCATAGTCATCTTTTACGGCAAGCATGGGTTGCTGAAGACCTATTCTACCCCGGAATCTTAACGGTTGAGCTCTATTTAACGCAACGGAAGTGGAAAAAAGGATAAAATCAGGTTTGGTTAATTATCTAATTTCAGGAAATCATATTTCAAAAACAATCTTAATTCTAAACGCCCCTACTTATATATGTGCGGTTTATCCATTCATTTCAGAAATTTCTAAAAAGAAGTAATCACCGTATATCGACTGCCACAAAGAATTATATTTACTCTTATTAGGCATAATGCATTAGCTTTCTTTCACTAAAGCGACACGGGTGGTCCAGTCGCTGTTCAGGGTTGCGTCGTGCCATCGTAACTAATATGTCTCAACAAGTCTTGGAACAAATTTACCGTTCGGCCTTGACATTGGGATGTGTCTGTTGACCCTGACCTTGATTTTGGGGTTTATATGTGGACTACTGACCTTGGTGAAGCCGACGAGGCCGGCTTTAGCTGCGGAGTAGGGAGCTTTGCCCTGGGTACTGATCACCGCCATCTGTGACGACATGTTGATGATGCGACCCCAGCCTGTAACACACGTCATACGTCGTCACGGGGATGCCGAGAGATAAACGTAAGCCAGTATGGTGACTGGATAGATGGTTTGTGGTGTGGACGGCTCTGTGTTTGGATATATTGGTGTGAGTGTGTGTGTGACTGTGTGTGTGTTTGAATTGTTGTGGGTGGATATATGGGTGTGTGTAAGTGTGGATGGGTGAATATATGGGTGTGTGTAAGTGTGGGTGGATATATGGGGGTGTGTTAGTTTGGCCGGGTGGATATATGGGTGTGTGTACGTGTGGGTGGGTTGATATATATGTGTGTGTGTAAGTTTGGGTGGGTGAATATATGGGTGTGTATGGCTAGATATATAAGTGTGTGTGTGTGTGTGTGTGTGTGTGTGTGTGTGTGAGAGAGAGAGAGAGAGAGAGAGAGAGAGAGAGAGAGAGAGAGAGAGAGTGTGTGTGGATATATGGATGTGCGTGTCTGAGTATACATAGGTGTTTGTGGGAGGATATATGGATATGTGTGTGTGTGTGCGTGTGCGTGTGTGGATATATGGATGTGCGTGTCATAGGTGTTTGTGTGTGGATATATGGATGTGCGTGTCTGAGTATACACAGGTGTTTGTGGGAGGATATATGGATGTGTGTGTGTGTGCGTGTGTGCGTGTGCGTGTGCGTGTGCGTGTGCGTGTGGATATATGGATGTGCGTGTCTGATTATACATAGGTGTTTGTGGGAGGATATATGGATGTGTGTGTGTGTGTGTCTGTGTGCGTGTGCGTGTGCGTGTGGATATATAGATGTGCGTGTCTGAGTATACATAGGTGTTTGTGGGAGGATATATGGATGTGTGTGTGTGTGTGTGTGTGCGTGTGTGGATATATGGATGTGCGTGTCATAGGTGTTTGTGGGAGGATATATGGATGTGTGTGTGTGCGTGTGTGAGTGGATATATGGATGCGCGCGGGTGTGTGTGTGGATATATGGATGTGCGTGTCTGAGTATACATAGGTGTTTGTGGGAGGATATATGGATGTGTGTGTGCGTGTGTGTGTGTGTGCGTGTGTGGATATATGGATGTGCGTGTCATAGGTGTTTGTGGGAGGATATATGGATGTGTGTGTGTGTGTGCGTGTGCGTGTGCGTGTGCGTGTGTGGATATATGGATGTGCGTGTCATAGGTGTTTGTGGGAGGATATATGGATGTGTGTGTGTGTGTGCGTGTGCGTGTGCGTGTGTGGATATATGGATGTGCGTGTCATAGGTGTTTGTGGGAGGATATATGGATGTGTGTGTGTGTGTGCGTGTGCGTGTGCGTGTGCGTGTGGATATATGGATGTGCGTGTCTGAGTATACATAGGTGTTTGTGGGAGGATATATGGATGTGTGTGTGCGTGTGTGTGTGTGTGCGTGTGCGTGTGCGTGTGTGGATATATGGATGTGCGTGTCATAGGTGTTTGTGGGAGGATATATGGATGTGTGTGTGTGTGTGCGTGTGCGTGTGTGGATATATGGATGTGCGTGTCATAGGTGTTTGTTGGAGGATATATGGATGTGTGTGTGTGTGTGCGTGTGCGTGTGTGGATATATGGATGTGCGTGTCATAGGTGTTTGTGGGAGGATATATGGATGTGTGTGTGTGTGTGCGTGTGTGGATATATGGATGTGCGTGTCATAGGTGTTTGTGGGAGGATATATGGATGTGTGTGTGCGTGTGCGTGTGCGTGTGTGGATATATGGATGTGCGTGTCATAGGTGTTTGTGGGAGGATATATGGATGTGTGTGTGCGTGTGTGAGTGGATATATGGATGCGCGCGTGTGTGTGTGTGGATATATGGATGTGCGTGTCTGAGTATACATAGGTGTTTGTTGGAGGATATATGGATGTGTGTGTGTGTGCGTGTGTGTGTGCGTGTGTGTGTGTGTGCGTGTGTGGATATATGGATGTGCGTGTCATAGGTGTTTGGGTAGGATATATGGATGTGTGTTTGTGTGCGTGTGCGTGTGTGGATAAATGGATGTGCGTGTCATAGGTGTTTGTGGGAGGATATATGGATGTGTGTGTGTGCGTGTGCGTGTGCGTGTGTGGATATATGGATGTGCGTGTCATAGGTGTTTGTGGGAGGATATATGGATGTGTGTTTGTGTGCGTTTGCGTGTGTGGATATATGGATGTGCGTGTCATAGGTGTTTGGGGAGGATATATGGACGTGTGTGTTTGTGTGCGTGTGCGTGTGTGGATATATGGATGTGCGTGTCATAGGTGTTTGTGGGAGGATATATGGATGTGTGCGTGTGCGTGTGCGTGTGCGTGTGCGTGTGCGTGTGTGGATATATGGATGTGCGTGTCATAGGTGTTTGTGGGAGGATATATGGACGTGTGTGTGTGGATTTATTGGTGTGAGCGAGTCTTGGCCATACCCCATAATGTAAAAAACAGCCAACGATCTGATTGGCTTTAAATAAAATATACACGTTCTTTTTTTCTTCGCTACATCGTCTGTTCGATAAATGTCGAGAATATTTTTAATGCCATGGTCGCCTATGGCGAACGGAGCCCGGCTAAGGCTGGACTGAGAGGTATATGAAAGTTATAATACCATAAGGCTTATGTGTCGCGGAAAATATGGCGATCGGCGATCTGATATGTGCGTCCGAGTCGGCGTGTTTTAACTCGTTTTTTTGTATACACGATTCAATCAAAAAGAAATTCGATAACCTAGCGGTACATCCTTTAAGCAGGGAGTTTGGTTCGGAATCGAAACTTATTCATATTATTGATCAATATTATGTGCACCTGAAGGCGCTAGCTCCCTGTGTTTTCCATCTGTATCTCGTGATGTAGTTAACTGCATTGGCTTGTGATGAGTGGAAGTTGGATCGGGAATTCACAATAAACAAAGAAGTTTGTGAGTTGACTTCGTTACATCTTTTTCTTTTGTATAGTACTCAAGCTGGTGGTGACATGCAACTTGAAGCTGCTAATCTATGCGTTACAAGCATCTGTGATACAGATGGCCTTATGTAAATTAAGAACATAAAAAGGGGGGAAGGGGTCCTAAATATCATTAACTATATTTGCAATATACAGGCTAAATATTCGTCTGTTCTTCCTTCATTCATAAATCTGTGGTTGATAACAAACTGTCCTCCTCCCTTTTAAATGCTTCACTGACACGCAACGGAAACAACCTTCGACCTTCCCGCACCGGTGCACAGACTGCGCATACGCCATCAGAATACTATCTTGCGACAGGGACTTGTGATAAACTGTATCTCAGGCAAGTGGATTTCTCAAAGGAGAATTCATAGATCATATACACGCAAGTACTCATATTTGTATATTGCAACGGCGTCCCTTGTTAGTCAATTGAAGCAAAATACGGAAAATGTAGATCTCGGTGAACTCCCATTGTCCCATTTACTCTGGCCCATTTTATTGACAAACTATTCGTGACCTGTGACCTACTGCTTGACACACTTGAGACAAATCGTGGAAACGCTGCGTTGAGAACTGTAGGCGTTCCGCGTGCAGCGGTAGAATCCATTTCTATTCAACAGGGGACTGAGGTGTGGCGCTGATTGGTGTTCATAACATATGCATACTCGACGGAAAGTAAAATAAAACTGTAAATTTCTTAAAATCTCATTCCATGTTATTGACAGTTTCAGCTATGGGAAGAAAGGTAATTTTGGACGTTGACACTGGGATCGATGACGCAGCTGCTATTATCCTGGCAATGAGTCACTCGGATGTGGAAGTGCTGGGGGTCACGTGTGTCAGCGGGAACATTCACATAGACAAGGTCCTTCGTAATACATTTCGAGTACTCAAAGTGTGTGATCGACTTAATGTAAGTAATTTTGACCAATACAAAAGTATTTAAAAGGATGTTTGCTGGCGTATATCTATAAGTATTTTCAAAATACGTAGGTTTAGTGTCTCACTTCGGAAAAAGACCCACACACAAAGGCCTTCTTTTGAGTTAGGCATTCTCATTTGTCGAACACAATTTATTGCGATTACATAATGGGTATTTATGCAATCCTTTGAAGTAGACAATATATATATACTATTCTTGATACGCCTCGCCTAGATGTTTTCTTGGCCCGTGAAGATCCGGATTAAAATAAGTCTTCAGCAATCCATGCATGTCGCAAGAGGCAATTAACGGGATTGGGTTGTCAGGTGTGCTGGCTTGGTTTATGCATGTCATCGTTTCCCATTTGTCCATGATCTCAATCAGGGGTATGTCTGGTCCAGACTCGATTATTTACAACCGCCGCTGGAATATTAAGAGTGCGGCTTTAAACAAAAAAAAATGCTGAAGACCTGGACTCATTCCCTTTTTGAGTCAATGAACCTAATTCTTTGCGTGACCTGCCATAACTTAAGGGCGGAATAATAAATGCGGCGTAAACTTCAATTAACTCACTTCTATTCAGGTTCCGGTCTTCAGGGGAGCAGATTCCCCGATTTTATCTCACAATCGCGAGCCAGTTTGTTTCCATGGTAACGACGGATTGGGAGATTGTGATTGGGATGAAGAGATCGATACAAGTCTCGTCCAATCAGAACACGCCGTAAATGCACTTATTCGACTGGTTAACAAGTTTCCAGGTACAAGTTCATGAATCTTACGCAAGGTTGATATCAACTATAATTCTCCCTCTCACTACATATGTTATTGTAACATGAACATATTTTCATTGTGCTTTAGTATTAAGTCGTCACGTAAAAAATAATCACTATTTACTATATTCATAAACAGGGGAGATTACTTTCGTTCCTCTTGGACCACTTACAAACATAGCACTGGCGCTGAAGATGGACCCGGAGTTCGGCAAGAAGGTTAAAGATGTGTTCGTCATGGGGGGTAACTATAAAGGTACTAAAAACCAAACAACCCGTAATAAACAAAAAATAACTATAACGGTACTTTTTACCAAATATACCCACGAACTAAGTTAGCCATCCCAAAGTTAGCCATCCTGGGACCTGCAAATGTGGGCCCACGGGTTTCGATTACCCTATACGACGGAAGAAAAGTGATCAGCACTAAACTAACTGGTTTTCAACCACTGACTTTCTCACATACGTGGGCTCACATGCAGCCATCTCTATTAAGGGGGCACGGGTGGCCCAGTCGTCTGAGGTGCCGCGATTCGCTGTGCAGAGTTGCGTCCCTTGGGCACGCCAGAAACCTATGATTGTGGGTTCGAATCCTGGTTCGACCCGATTATGTTTCTAGGTTTTGTCAGCACCATACACGCGCTCGTGGGTTTCACCGAAGTTGTAAACGTCTGAGACCTGCATCACTTCGGGCTTTCCTCCCACATTAAGCTGACACGTCGTGATATAACTGGAATACTGTTAAAAGTGGCGTTAAAACCAACTCACTCACTCCCTCACTCACTATTAAGACAAATATAGTGGGCACTTTGGGAATACTAATTTTCACGAGTTTTAAATTAAACGACAAAACCGTGTTTAATTTTCTGCAAGTTACAAATGGAAAGATATAAATAAAACAAATTCAAATTGGTTAAGGACACTGTTTACTTTTTGGATTAGATGCAAATTAATACTTTGACCAACTACAACGCGCAGCGTGACTCGCCAACACGAAAACAACGAATACGAAAGCAACGGAGACAGCTTCAGATTGTCATTCGTAGAGTGATCTCCCTTCCCAAACATGATCCACTGATAATATCGTCGGAAAGTAAACGTCACAATGAGCGTAGAGTACAAACATGTGCAATGACCTTTCCCTAGGTATAGGAAACGTCACGATGAGCGGAGAGTTCAACTTCCACTCTGACCCGGAAGCGGCCTTCATCAGCCTGCACGGCCTCCGTGACGTCACTGTTGTCCCCTGGGAGACCTGCATGGACGCGGACCTTCCCTGGGTGCGTACATTTGGTCATGAAGCAGTTCACAGCAGTGCATGCTGAAGGACAGATAATTTGAAGTTCGTATGGGTGGGGATGCAGGGGACATCCTGTGTTAAGGAAAAACATTTCCTCATTTCAGGGGGGCACGGGTGGCCCAGTCGTCTAAGGCGCCGCGATTCGCTGTGCAGAGTTGCGCCCCTTGGGCACGCCAGAAACCTATGATCGTGGGTTCGAATCACGGTTCGCCTCGATTATGTTTCCAGGTTTGTCAGCACCATACCTATGCTCTAGGGTTTCACCGAAGTGGTAAACGTCTGAGACCTGCATCACTTCAGGCTTTTCTCCCACATTAAGCTGACACGCCGTGATATAACTGGAATACTGTTAAAAGCGGCGTTAAACCCAACTCACTCACTCCTCATTTCAGAGAAAAGAAAACAGTGGCTGAGTATACGTACTGATGAAAACGAATATGAGAACAATGAAAAACATAGGGAAACAAGCTGTACTGTCAGTACATCTGACATAGCGCATACAAATTCAACACAGAATCAAATGTTGAGATGTGTTTGTGTGCATTGTTTCCAAAGCGTATTTGGTAGACAGGCTGGAAATCCATGACAGCACGTCATTTTACTGTCTAAAACTACGTGTTCACTCATTTCCAACAAAAACCTAGGCCCTTTGAGTGATCCGTCACGCCATCAAACGTATGCCATTAAAAAGTATTTGGCCTCGATAACCATCCAGATCATAGAATGGGTCAATGGTCACAAGCAAGTCTTGCAGCCTTGGACTGTTTTTCCGGGTGAAAGTTTCAACAAATATTCTCAGAATATTACTACATGTTATATTTTGACATTCCCTCTTGGAAATGAGACCAAGCCTAACAAATTCAATCGGTAAACGTTATCAAGGTCACATGACCCAGAGGAAGCCGCTTGTTTTCCATATTTAATCAAAGGCAATAATTCAATATGTAAAAACAATTATTAATTCATGGCGTTTCGACTTTTTGTCCATGACCGTATTGTCTGGTTCCTATTTAGGGATAATAGCTTGAGGAAACATTGATGGATTGGGACCATATTGAACTTAAATTATTTTATTAATCAACTCAGTCAAAAGACGTTAGAAATGGTACTTGTTGTAATCCTGCCTGGCGCTTGGCATAAGGACTGGTCTATATACCGTGTCTGATAGGGGTATTCATGTTAAACTGCCGCATGGTATCTGAATGGGCTAGCACAATAAAATTACACCTCACCTCAATAACTTGCCGAATTGTTCATATTAACGAAATCATTGCGCCCATGTAAATAATTTAGAGGTCGAGACACCATTCGCAAAGACAATATTTCTTCTGCAGGCCACGTATGACAGATGGATGAAGGTTGAGACTCCAAAAAGCCGGTTTGTGGAGAGGGTAACTAGTTTCTGGGTGGTGAAACGCGACTTCCGGTATATCCGGAAGGGCATCCGGCTGTGCGATCTGAACGCCATGGCAGCCTGTATTAACGAAGCGGCCATCTTGGAAAAGCAGAAGGTTTATGCGACGATAGAACTTTGCGGCACTGTAACGCGAGGGCAGATGGCTGTCGATTGGAGGTCACATTCTGACGAAACTGCAAATGTTACCGTCATAACGAAAATATGTACCGAGTCCGTGGCACGGATGTTTGAAGAGGCTCTGAATGGGTGAAACTGGGGACTGTGTCTCTCAGTAACCGCTGTGGTCATACGAAGCGACGAAATGGATAGGGTGGTCAGGTTCAGTCACTTGGTTCATTGCGAGTTATCGTACACCAACGGTGTGCGACGCTGCCCAAGCCAGTCACTGGGTTGTCTGGTCCAGAATTAATTTTTACAGGCCGCCGTCATATAGATGGAATATTGGGACGTTAAACAATAAACAAAAAGACCAAATTGTTTTTTACAGTAACTCTTTGCGATTAGATGTACATGTAGAAATATGTTTCAGATTTGAAATACCCGGTTACATTAAAAGTTCAATATCTGTTAGACTTTTGTTCTCTGGCATCAGAGAGGGCAAGCTGTACCAAACTGTTTGGTTGACAGATATTTTGGTGGATTATCTCCAAATACCAAATGGTCGGATCCTTACGTTGCTTTACGTTGTGAGATCACGGCGTGTCATGCTATGGGCGGAACCAGACATGTGAACCTTGCCATGGAAGAGTGAGTGAGTGAGTATGGTTTAACGCCGCTTTTAGCAATATTACAGCAATATCACGGCGGGGGGCACCAGAAATGGGCTTCATACATTGTACCCATATCGGGAATCGAACCCGGGTCTTCGGCGTGACGAGCGAACGCTTGAACCATTAGGCTACCCGACAGCCTCATGTGCATCAGGAGCACGGGTGTGGTGTATAAGAGGCGTATCACGATCGTGACATGGGAAACGACGCAACTCTGTCCAGACTTTTGGCTAACCGTTCGCCGGTTCTTATTTAACCATAGTCTTTTAAATATCAATTTATTATTCTCCCAAGGGGCAACTTTGAGGGTTTGTTTGAGATGGAGTATTCTTCGGCCACGGCTACAAGACAAGACTTTTGGTCTCTGAAACTATTTTTGTAGACAAACTACAGTTATTGTTTTTGTGTATGTAAAACCAGAGGCCAAATTACCTTTTGCAATATACTTTGAACACATTTGTTGTTTAAACCTTTTGTGACTTTCTAGCCAAAAAAAAGGAGTGAGTGAATAAGTTTGGTTTTACGACGCTTTTTAAAATATTCCGGCCATATCACGGCAGGGGACACCAGAAAACATTGTTCCCATGTGGGGAATCTAACCCGTCTTCGGCGTTACGAGTGAACGCTTTAACAACTAGGCTACCCCACCGACGCCTAAGAAAAGGAAGCGTTCGCTCGTCACGCTGAAGTTCCGGGGTCGAATCCTTTCAGGAACAGTTTGTGAAGTTAACACCATGAGACGTCACTCACCTTTCTGTTTCATCCGCGAGAGGAAGTGTTTAGTGAGGAGGAAGGGCGCCGTCATGGTGATTGCGATCATCTCGTTCCACTTCTCCAAGGGGTAGTCTTCTACAGCTCTGACATACTGAATACCTGTAGCACAGCCACGGTGATGACGTAAACCAATTCGAAGATATTGCGTGTGAGTAAGTGAATGCTCTTGACACTGCATCAAGGTGGTCTATAAGTAATCGATTCTGCGCTACACAAACCAGTGGTTGATATAATGAGCCACTCCCACACGTACGATGAAATGGAATCAAGACTTTCCACCCGACAAGCAGTGTGGGAGTTTACCCCAGGTCCTCCCGGTGCTTTGTCCAATAGGAGCGGGTAGTGAGAGAGTATGGTTTTACGCCGCTTTTAGCAATATTACAGCAATATCACGGCGGGGGACACAAGAAATGGGAGGGGGCGGTTTGTTTAATACATACACTAGGCTGAAATAATGATGATGTCGTATTACTGAGAGACATTCTGATCTGGAAGTAACAAAAAGAAAACTCGTCTTTCCCACACAATAATCCCCGTGAAGATCCGGGGTAGAATAGGTCTTCAGCAACCCATGCTAGCCGTAAAAGGTGACTATGCTTGTCGTAAGAGGCGACAAACGGGATCGGGTGGTCAGGCTCGCTGACTTGGTTGATGCATATCATCAGAGACCATATTTATTATATGGTCTCTGATGTCAGCGATCCAAATTGCATGGATCGATGCTCATTATGCTCGCTATTATGGATATTAATCACTGGATTGTCTGGTCCAGACTCGATTATTTACAGACCGCCGTCATAAAGGTGGAATAATGTTGAGTGCGGCGTAAAACAACAGACAAACCAACCAACCCAGCAACCTATGCTTGTTGAGGCGACTAACTGGATCAGGTGTATCATTGTGTCCAATATGGGCGTGACAGCAATACTGGTTTATCTGGCCCAAACTGGATAATATACCGTTAAATATTTCTGAGCGTGCCATCAAACAACATACATTCACAATATTAATCAGATCTGATTTCAACAAGAGATTGAGCCAAAACGATTCTAATGCTGTCTGATATTGCGATTGTTATCTCCCCTGTGTTGTTCAAATGTCACGTGATATCATTATAATCGTTAGCTCACCTGCACTGTTTTTATGTCATGTTTTATCCTGATCGTTATTTCACCTGCAGTTTTAGTATCATCGTTAGCTCACCTGCGTTGTTGACGAGGATATCAACTCCGTCTGGGTGTATATCGCAAACCTTGTCACAGAATGTTGCTATAGATACAGGGTCGATGAGATCAGCGGGAACATAATCAACTCGGCCTTTGTATCTGGAACACGCAGAGTAAGTGAGTGAGTTGGGCTTAACGCCGCTTTCAACAGTATTTCACTCATATCACGGCGTGTCAGCTAAATATGAGAGGAATTTATTGAAAAGAAAATTGTTCCCGATACTATTTGGAAAAAAATTATACTTCATACCGTTGGAAAATTGCCTGCCACGATTTTTTTTTACCAAAAAATTCAGGCAAATGGTCTATTCGTGACTAACTCGTGAGCGGAACAAGCCGAATAGCGACTCGTGCCCCTATCGTGGCCATTTTTGCGACCGGGTTCCGTCTTAGCGCAAACGGGCATACCAAAAACAATTGTCAACTCGTTGCGCAATGGTTCACATGTATTTCCTCATATATTATATATATTTCAGATGCAATTTAAAGCACACCGGGACATGCGGAATTATACAGCATGATTGAACACATTTAACTGTGTCTTGGGTATATTTTTAGATGCAAGACATATGTAAAATCAAAAATTATTTCTGAGGGATTCTTTGACGAAGAACTTGAAATCATACGCGCATTCTGAATGGTTTGTCGTATTTTCGCACATAACATTCATCGATTGGGGGACGAGTCTTCTTGCAGGTTACGGAAAGGGGCGAGGGGTGACGAATGACTCATAGTCTTGAAAAAATAATCTGGTTTTGTAGCTGTACCTGAAAAAATCTAATCTCGATACAAAATCCCAGCCCGAGAAAATCAAATTCTCGGCCCCTATTCCTTATCGGCACTCCGGTCTAATTACACTTTTGATTAGACAAGCAGGGTTAGCTCCCTTCACAAGGTTTGCAACAAGCTCCTCACAGCGATGGCCCGTTCGCGGAGCTCTCTATACTATCGCTGCCACCAGTCAAAACTCCCCACTGTGAATATGTGGCCACAACCATGCTTGGAGTTGAACTCGCAACCGAATGACCGTTATGTTTACAAACAAGTGACGACTGTCTTGACGCCGAATACACTTATTGCTGCTAAATTACTTTCTTCGTTTGTCAATTTGAATTTCTGTTTCATTAAAACTATCGTGTTATTGATATAGTAAGAATGTAAGGGAGAAGTTGGTTGATTTTCCGTTAGTCTGCAATCTCGAACCAATCTGATTATTAAAACAACAAAGTAAATTCATCTGGAAAACATGGTCAGTCGTAAACCTTTTTAAAATGAAATATCATGGCATTCCCAAAGATATAAACAAAAGTATGAACGTTACTACATTTGGGGTTAGAGGGCAAATTTCAAGATTCTTGTAATGGCCGCGCCCACACACTGGTGGCAGCGATGTTACCGAGAGTGTAACGAAGGAGCTTGGGTTTGCAAGATTCGCTGCTGATGCCTTGGTCACAAAGAGTATCCCCACATATCATCACTTACCTCGGGAACATTGAGGGCATGTCCTGACCAGATTACGTCAAAGATGTTTTTGAAAAGATGACAACGATGACCTATCTGACCGTGTTTCCCGTGTTTTACTTCATACTATCGCCCACTGGTTTGTGAGTTTAAGACACATAATTGTACATATATAGCCATGATATAGTGGTGTGAACAACATTCTCACTTTTTGAAATCCTCAAGAATGGAATTGATGAGCTCTTGGCTGCCTAAACCAGTCAAAATGATCGAACAGCCTTTCTCTGCAAGATGATTGGCTATTCCTAGACCAATGCCCGTTGTTGATCCCGTCACCAAAGCAACCTTTCCGTCCATGTCTGAAAAAGAGAAAGTTTTGTTTGTTTGAACATTGAGGCTAAATGAAGCCGGTCTGTACATAATACTGCTTGGACCTGACAATCCTGTGATTGACATTAGAACATCGATCTACGCATTTGGGACACGATAACATGCATTAACCGAGTCAGTGGGCCTGACCACCCAATTCCGTTAGTCGAATGGGTTGCTTGAAGACCAATTCTAACTCTTGATACCATTTTCATGTATGTGTCTTTTATCAAGCCAGCTCTGACTCTGGTATTCCGGGGAGCACTGGTACCAAGTACCCCATCCTTGTAACAATGACTGAATGTTGTTTTACTTTGCAACATTATTCCAGCTAAAGTACTGCGGCCTCAAATAACCGAGCCTGTTATTCAAAGTGTGTCAGATTCAGAAAATACATATTTTCTAACAATATTCCCAGTCGCCTCGGCCGCCTCCGTGGTCTTGTGGTAGAGCGTCCGCCCGGAGAGCGAAAGGTCTGGGGTTCGATCCCCGGCCGCGTCATACCAAAAGACGTTAAAAGATCGTACTTGTTGTCACCCTGTCTGGCGCTCGGCATTAAGGGGCTAAAACAAGGACTGGTCGGCTCGGAGTCAGTATACTGTGTCTGAGTGGGATATTCATGTTAAACTGCGGCATGGTATCTCAGTGAGCCAGCACTATAAATCGGCATCAGTCCGGACTAGTACAAGCAGCCACGCAAACACTTGCATGCACGTCGCTATATAAGTGCAATAATCTTGGACGCGACGTTAAACCCAATTTCACCTCACCTCACCCAGTCGCCTCTTTGTAACTTCTAACAGCTGCTCATGACAGTGAATTGGTTTGTTTAAATTTTTTGGAAAACGGGTCCGTTTATGACGTTAGGTGAGCATTGAATATCTTTTTAGAACGAGTAAGCCCAAAGCTGGATTTCAAGGAGATTCATTTTTCGTGAGTACATGTCTGCAGCAACGATATGAACAAAACTGATATAACTTGACTAACCCTTTCAATTTCAAGATTCCTGCACGTCGTTTTCACGATAGGATAACCTTTGACAACAAACAACCGTCCCCAACCAGGCCTTGTGGTTAAATAGTTTGTTCGTTTCTCCGAAAAAGGTTCTAACATGGGTACATTTCTGCTCTCTCCCGCCGTCCTGTTGCTAGGTTAATCGTTGCTTACGTTCGTGACCAAGGTGCACCCGCGTTGACCAATGTCAAATATAACCCCAGTTAACCTTGGTTGACCAGTGTCAGTTCATCTTAACTGATTGACGTCATCCTCGGTTGACCGAAGTTGCCCCAACCCACTGAACCCCGGAGTAGGCACTCTGGTCAGCAGCTTACTAGTGACGTCATCGTAAAAGTTAATTTGTTTCATATATTGATTCAAAAAAACAAAACAATACCAACATTTAAATGTAAATTGCCCTACGTTATGCTTGGTCAATAGCTCAGGTTGAATCTAGTCCACCCTGGTTGCCAGAAATTTGATAACCTCGGTTGACTTGGGTCACTCAAATTTAAATAGTCAAACGCACGTAGTGACGTGACATTGGTACCGTATATATACATAGTCACGACATAAGATTAACACACTTAAGTTTGACCTGGTTTCAAATTTCGTTGCCGCGAAGTGGTACTTGTTGATAGCATACTATGTGTTTTTTTTGTTTTTTTTATGTTGTTGTTTAACGTCGCACTCAGCAATATTCCAGCTATATGACGGCGGTCTGTAAATAATCGAGTCGGGACAAGACAATTCAGTGATTGATACCATGAGCATCGTTCTACGCAATTGGGATACGATGCCATGCACCAACTAAGTAAGCGAGCCTGACCACCAGATCCTGTTTGTCGACTCTTACGACAAGCAGGGTTGCTGAAGACCTATTCTGACCTGGATCTTCACGGGTCTGGCACCAAGTCACGTGTATGTTCATTTTGGTTAATAAACTAAGGCAATACGGGAGTTACATGGAAAACATTTCCATATTTCACTATCGAATACACACTGTCAACAAGTGTTTGTTTGTTGTTTACTGCAACACTCATCAAATTATTCCAGTTGTGACGGCTGTATGTGAATAATTGAGTCGGGACCAGACAATCCAGTGACTGACATTATAAGCATCGATCTACGCGTTTCAGAAAAGGTGAGCTCAAACATTTGTTCTTGTGGACTCAAACTCAAGCTTCAACTTTGAAAGGAATAATATTCATCTTGAATCTAAATTTCCAAATTATACCATATCATGTTGTAACAATGATTGAGTGAGTATCCTTTCGAGACAGTTTGTCGTTGCATTTAGTTGCGCGCAAAACAAGTGCATGTCCATACGCCAAATCACCATGTTCACGCCATGAACTTTTAGTGAGTTATGGCTTAATCACATGGAGTTCTAAGCCTTGGTATATATTTAAACACATTTTTGAATACGAGTTCGTTTTCTCTTATGGTTAACAGTGCATTGCCGTGTTTGGCTTTGCGGATCCATTTAGTCGCCACGTTCGCCAAACATGGGCTGCTGGGGACCTGTGTTCTTACTGTGTAAACCCACAGCAAACACTTTATCATTAACAATTTGTTTCAATAATTATGTTAAAATGTATTATATACTTAAGTGTGAAAGACTGAGATTTATATGGTGATAATTTCACAGCAGTGAGTGAGTATGGTTTTACACCGCTTTTAGCAATATTCCAACAATATTCCAGCAATATCACGGCGGTAGACGTCAGAAATGGGCTTCGCACACTGGACCCATGAGGGAAATCGAACCCGGGCCTTCGGCGTGAAGCTAATGCTTTAACCATCAGACTACACTACCGCCCCTACACGTTTTTGGGAAACAAATGTTTTCAAACAATAAATTACGCGCATAACAATGAACCCGTGAAGATCCGGGGTAGGCTAGGTCTTCAGCAACCCATACTTGTCGCAAAAGGCGACGATGCTTGTCGTGAGAGGCGACTAACGGGATCGGGTAGTCAGGCTCGCTGACTTGGTTGATGCATGTCATCGATCCCAATTGATTGGATCGATGCTCATGATGTCAATCACTGGATTGTCTGGTCCAGACTTGATTATTTACAGACCGCTTTCATATAGCTGGAATACTGCCGAGTGCGGCGTTAAACAAGAAACAAACAAACAAACAAACAGAACAATGATTTACGACGCTAACTGTGTAGTTATATCACAAGAGCATTCCTCGCCGCGTTATCAATCACGTAGTCGCGTCCTACATGTCTCCCCCCTCTCTCCCACTTACCAGCAGGTACTTCAGTGCAGCTTTACACAGGTAACACTGATGAGCGGATTACACACTGACACACATATCTGAAACACACTTTACCTCAACACCGTGTTTGTGCCATGCACTGGAACCCGAGCTGCCTTTCTGGTTTGTCAAAAGTGCCGGGTCGGTTTTCAAGATATTCGGAGAGATCAGGCCAAATTAATTATTTGATCGTCGAAAACCTGTTAAGCTTTTGTTTGGCTAAAATGAATGAGTGGGACATTTCACCTTCGGTTATGGGAGTTAGTTGGTGTGTGTTTGTGTGTGGAGGAATCAGACTTTGGTATTCAAGGATATTCAATAATATACTCTTAAAATAAAGTAGGGGATCATGAAATACAAATGTTAATACCACGTATTGGTACAAAGATATGTGTTGACGACAAACGTCCTATGAAAGAAGTTTATGTCTGTAAAACTTAACACCAAGACACATGCTATAGCTTGCACGTGCCTCAAGCAGTAGTGCCACACACGTGCGTAGTGTGTTGTCATTCCTGATTTTGAACTTTCAAGGAAGGTCGATTAATCGTTGTGGACCATTATTCTGCCCATCACGCAGTTGTGATTTACTTGATTTCATTCACTGTATGTGTAGCGATGCGGCGTCTGCAACGCGCGGAGTGTCTACTGGCTGTTGGCGTGCTGGAAACTGGCAGAGGTCAGCGTGCAGTGGCCAATACGTTCATAGCTTCACAGTCTGTGATAAGCAGACTATGAAACTGTTCAACAATTACCAAAAAAACGCAAAATGTTCACCATCGACCTTCTTCAGGGCGTCCAAGGTCAACGACAAAGGTTACATGATCGGTGGATCCGAAACAAGGCTCAGCGTAATCGAGCTCAAACGGCGAATCAAAATGCAGCAAATTTTCATCAGACTGCAGAAGTACGGGTAAGACGATTAGAAATGTTCTACATACAACCCATCCCCATGCTCGACGGCAAATCGTCACATTGCCAACATACGTCAATTGTGTACACAACGTCGAACTTTGGAAATCGTCGTTGGTCACGTGTCATGCTTTCAGATGAGTCTCGATTATTTACAGACCGCCGCCATATAGCTGGAATATTGCTGAGTGCGGTGTTAAACAACAAACCAAACCAAAACCAAAACTTCCTTGAAAGGATTGGTCGAGGCTGGCGACGACGTCGAAATGAACGTCAAACCAATGTCAACATGAGACCTCATGACAAATGTGGCGGTGGATCTGTGGGTCGGCATCGCTATGACTGGATGAGCCCCACTCCATATTGTGCAAGGAAGGGTCCCTGAACAGTACTATCGGGACAACATACTGACATCCTTTGTTGTCCCGTTTGCAAGGGATGTGGCTTGGCGTTTCGTCTTGCAGGATGACAACGTGCTCATCGTACACGAATTGACAATGCTCACCTCCGGCAGTGCAACATCCATAGAATGCTATGGCCATTAGAAAGCCCAGACTTTTCTGCAATTCAACAAATCTGGGGCATGATAATCAGACGTGTGCGTCAACGTCATAGGCCGCCGACCACGTTGGATGAACTTGGCCAGGCCTGCAAGAGGCTTTGGGCCGGCTCCCGCAAATCGCCATTTGTACAGTTTGCCTCGTCGAGTAAATGAATGTTTGACAAATCGTGGCCGGATTTCGCAATACTGATCCTAAAACGTCAACTTTGAAATATCAATCTGACCCCTATCGTCCTTCTAGATCGTTG